AAGAAGTTGCTCATGTTTATATTCAAGAGAGTTTTGCCTATGTGTTTTCCTAAAGGTTTTATGGTTTCATGACTTTACATTCAGGTCTTTGATCTATTTCGAGTTTACTTTTGTGTGTGGGGTTAGACTGTGATCCAGTTTCATTCTCTTGCATGTAGCTGTCCAGTTTTGCCAGCACCAGCTGTTGAAGAGGCTGTCATTTCCCCATTACACAAGCCTTTCTTGAGGGAACTTAGCTCACTTCTGCTAGAAAGTGAATACCAATAACATTCCTTAGTACTGTTTGTGGTGGTGAAAAGTCACCCGCAGCTGAAGGTCAACAAGGGGAAGTTTGTCATGTAAACAAACAGCAGAAGCCCAGGCGAGTCAGGGTGGCCAGGGGATGTACGTGGGTCTCACGCAGTCGCCACTGGAGCTGTTGTCCAACTGGGCTTTTGTTTCCTGCTTATCAAGTGAGGCTGATCACCGTAAAGTAGAAAAGAAGCTGGAAAAACAAGAGCATAATTACTATCCTACCCAGATAAGGTCACTAGAAATACTTCAGAAATGGCATTGTCTTCCAGAAGCTCCGTAAGAGCTTGGAATAAAGTATATACGGAAAAGTGCCACAGTCCTAAGTATGCAGCTCAGCGGGTCTGCACTAATGGACACCCCTGCCTGTACCCGTCCCAGCCACTCCCCACTCATGGGCACCCACTGCCCTTATTTTTTATGCTGAGATAGAGCCTCTGGTATGGAGCTGCACATGAATGGTATGCAGCATGTCTGGCTGTGTCCAGGCAGCGTGGTTCTGCAAGATTGCTCTCTGTTGAGACACCCGTGGCTCATGTATCCTCTGCCTGGGATGGATTCCCAGGAAGGAGCCCCATTTGGGCCCTTGGGGCTTGTGGCCTGTGTGTTTGCACTGTTCCCCTGTGGCAGGGTGCAGACCACAGGCAGCCTCCACGGAAGCTCTGCATTCCCGCCAGGTGCTCAGCATCAGTGGTGCCGCATCCCTCAGGGATGCATGGGCAGTGGGATGCATGTTGCAGCTTTCTTGCATCTCCCTGTGGCTCCTGGGGTGGGACCTCCCAGTACCCCTCCAGCTGCGTGGATGTCCGGCCTACCTGCACTGTTTGCCCTTTGCCTTCTTGGTGAGTGGGAGGCTTTGCTTCTTCTGGCCAAAGGCACACGAGCACTGACCGCTGTATGCCGACACCCTGACACTTGTGTTTTGGGCTGGCCTGCCTGCTTCCCGTTGCACGCCAGGCCAGGTCTCTGTCCCTTCCCGTCGTCCTGTAGTCACAGCTGCTGCAGCTGGGTGGCAGGGAATCAGGCCCGGGCAGCATGGAGAGAGGATACCTGTGGCCCAGCCTGTGGCTCTCGGCGGCAGAGACACTGGGGATGCCCGAGAGCTGAGCATTCTGTACCCCAGGCAGGGGGGCAGCCTGCCCACAGGGCCTCATCTGTAGCGCCAGGAAGGTTGGATCACGGGGCACTTTGATAATGATTTTTTTAAATCCTCCTCTCCACCAGTGTGCCTTCTAGAACCTGTTTTAAAATAAGGGAAAAGGACCAATAAAAACGGAGGTTTAGCTGAAGGCCTGGTTGGGACAGGACCCCAGCTGAGGCACCACCAACCTGCCCAGAAACCCACGGGGCCCTCCATGCCCAGTCTGCAGCGTGCCAGCTCCGGCCCTGCTCTGTGCTCACTCTCTTCTTTTTAATCAGCATTCCTTGTTTCAGTGATGGCAGCCAGTGCCTCCTGGGAACACACTTGTGCCAGGCACTGTGTGAGACCCTGTGTCTCCCCGTCATATTTATTCAACAAAGCAGCGTATGGAGAAGAAACTGAGGCCACAAGTCTGGCGGCCTGCCTAGGCCCCAGCTAGAGCTCTGCTCAGACTCATGCCTGCCCAGCCTGCCCCACCCGCCCCTGCTGTTCCCATTTCTCGTCTCTTCCTAAACTTAAAAGGCTTAGAGTATGTTCATGGAAATTAAAGGAATTACTTGGGTTTATAGGTAACCATTTTGGGAAAAACCACCACCTAACCACACCTGTCACCACATGACCTTTAGGTGATTCCCATCCTGATTTTGGCACATTTTCCTCAGTATGTTTTCTCATGCCCAAGTAGGGTCTGCTGCTCTGGTCTGGACTGGTTTAGACCAGCTTGCTCTGGTCTGGTCTGCTCTAGCTTGGTCTGCTCTCGTCTGGTCCAGTGCACAGCCAGCACAGGCCACCTGCACAGCCCCGTGTGGCCTCCTCGGGGAGGTCGGGGGGGTGTTGCAGCAGGCAGTGGGAGTGGTGGCTGTGCCTCCCAACCCTGGGGGTCTCATGCCTGGCCCCCACTGCTCTCCTCCCCACCAGCTGCACCACCTCGTGAGTGATGACGTGTGTCTGAAGGTGGTGGAGCTCTACCTGAATGAGAAGAAACGGGGTGCTGCTGGCGGGAACCTGTCTTCCCGCTGTGTCCGTGCTGCGAGGGAGACCAGCTACCAGTGGAAGGCGGAGCGGTGCATGGCTGACGAGAACTGCTTCAAGGTGAGGCAGCACAGCGTGCCTGGCCCCACACAGCTGGGGGCAGGAGGGCGCTGGGCCCACGACAGGACAGGACAGTCACTGTGCCGGTGCCCGGTCTGGACTATGGCTCAGCCGCAGGCCGGCCTGGGACCTTGCACACCTTTCACTAGGCTCCTGGATGCTGGCCTCAGCCTCAGGTGCTGCAGGGCCTGAGGTACACACCCAGCACATGGTCCCTCAAGGATGGGGGAGCCTTGGAGGCTCGTGAAGAAGGGCTGTGGATGATCTTTCAGCCCTGTCCTGTGCCAACCTAGGCTGTTCTCACAGCTTCTGCTGTTCATCTCTCTCCATCCCTAGGTGATGTTTCTCCAGCGTAAAGCACAGGTCATCATGACCATCGAGCTCTTGGACACTGAGGAGGCCCAGACGGAGGACCCTGTGGAGGTCCAGGTGAGGACCGTAGCCCTCTGCTCTGTGCTCTGTGCTCACTGTGGGTGCTCCCACCCCTTGAGCCCCGTGCACACACTGGTTAAGTACAGGTTGAAAACGTCCACCCAGAGACGCTGCACCATGAGGCTGAGTGCTTTCCTTGGAAACCCAAGATGGGGTGGCAGTTGCAGAGGACCCTTCAGGAGTTGCAAGGAAACAAGAGCCAGGCCACCCTCCCCCAAAACTCTGGCTCCCCGCTCTTCCCACCTGCTGCAGACATCAAGATATCCCCATTGGACTGTGGCCCCATCACTCAGACCCTGTGGCCTGTGACCTTTGCACTCCCTGTACATAAGACTCTGAATTCTGGGTGTCTATCCCCCACCACCAGGGAAACCTGCCTGGCGCACTTTCTGAATTGCATGCTCCACCTGTGCCCTTGGCGGCTAGGAGCAGGCCCAGGAGGCCCTGGCCCCACCATAGCCACGGGAAGTCCCTTGCAGCATCCTTCCCTGCCTGCTTCAGGGCTCCCCACACAGCAAAACTGTCCAAGACAAAGGAGGGCAGAGGCCTGCACACCCTGCCCAATTTGGGAGTTCCCAGCAGATCTGGGTTTGTGAAGCTCAAGTGTGGAGGAGCCTCTGGCTTTAACAGGGTGGATGCAGGGTCCCCTGGACACAGGGAGCCATGCCCACCCTGGACCTGGGTGGGCCCTGCGAGCCTGCCTTTTACCCACTCCCACCTCCTGCCTGGCTTTCCCTCTGCCTACCTGCTGTTTGTTTCCTTTTGTCTGTCCGTGTCCCTTGGACCCTGCTGTCCTCTGTTGGGGAAGGGCATTCCCTGTGTGAACTTGTTACATGATAGACATAGAAAGGCCATTACACAACAGGGGTTCAGCCCCTAAAAGCACTAAAGGCTGTGAGTTGAGTTGTCTGCACTGGTGTGCAGGTCCTGCTCTCACTGGGTCGTTTGTCAGGAGCTGCAGGCTGGTGGTTTCCACCACGCATCAGCTGCCATCCTCCCAGTGCTTTGGGATGATGGGGACAAAATCCCCAGGAGCCCTTGAGCTTGGAGTCCTGCTGAGAGGTCTGCAGCTCTGATACCATGGGCCGTGTGTCCCTCCTTTCCCTCAGCACCTGGCTCGGTATGTGGAGCAGTATGTGGGGACCGAGGGTGCATCCAGCTCGCCCACCGAGGGCTTCCTCCTGAAGCCCGTGTTCCTGCAGAGGTGAGAGGGCCCGCAGCACCGGGGAGGCCCCCTCACCATCACCGGCACTGGGGCGGGTGTCACTGGGTCTTAGAGTCTCCAGGGCTGAAGGGGTTGGTCGCATTTTCCATCCCTTCTATGTGCATTTCTCCAACCCCTGGGAAGCTGGATGTCTCCCTGATGTTTGTGGGCCACCAGGATTTCCTGGTGTGCAAATGCTCTCCTCTTCTGGCCCCAGGAACCTCAAGAAGTTCCGGCGGTGGCAGTGTGAACAGGCGCGCGCCCTGCGCGGGGAGGCCAAGAGCTCCTGGAGGCGGCTGGTCGGTGTGGAGAGCGCCTGCGACACAGACTGCCGCTTCAAGCTCGGTACCCACAAGATGGTGTTTGTTGTCAACTCCGAGGACTACATGTACCGCCGTGGGACCCTCTGCCGGGCCAAGCAGGTGCCCCTCCCTGCAGAGTCCTGGGGACTTGGAGTTCAGCCTGTGGCCATCTGTAGGGGTGCCTGGGCCCCCTAGATCCAGCCCATAGCCATTTTGGGGTGTCTGGGCCCCCAAAATCTATCCCATGGCTGTTAGAGGGTTCCTGGGTCCCTCAAGATGCAGTTACAGCCATTCTGGGGCACCTGCGCTACACTGACTCCCATCCTACTCTCTGCAGGTGCAGCCCCTCGTCCTGCTGCGCCACCACCAGCACTTTGAGGAGTGGCACGGCCGCTGGCTGGAGGACAATGTGACCATGGAGGCGGCTGGTCTGGTGCAGGACTGGCTGATGGGTGAGGAGGACGAGGACATGGTGCCCTGCAAGACACGCTGTGAGACGGCGCACGTGCACGGCCTGCCTGTGACCCGCTACCGAGTGCAGTACAGCCGCCGCCCAGCCTCGCCCTGATTCGCCGGAGCGGGTACCTCCGCACAGCTTGTCGTCGCTCCCTGGGCCTCAGTGTCTGTCAGGGGCCTTTCCACGGATAAACTGAGGGGAGCCGAGCGTCCTCCAGCCTTGTTGCTCGGGTTGTGAGCTCCACGGAGGGTGGGCTTGGGTTGGCTTGTGGCCGCACGCTGCCATCCTACTTGGCTGCCCAGCTTCCTCTGGGCTCAGCCTGTGCCAAACCTGAGCTCCCCTGCACTTGAACTCTGGGGTTCAGTCCCTGCATGTGGGGGGAGTCAATGTGCTGGCCACGAAGTGAGTGAGTGTATCATGCACCTGCTGGGCCAATTTTTCATGTGCCAAGTCCCCAGGGGGGCACCTCTGGTCCTTTGGCCTACTAGGTGTCTGGAGAAGTCAGCCACACGAGGACATACATTTGGGAGGGGGTTGGAGTGGAGTCAGGTCTGGAGGGACCTGCTTGAAAAGCAAGCATGTCCTTTCCAAATGGTTCTGAGAGCTTCTGAAATCATTGTCCTTGCTTGGTGATGCCTGCATCTGGTGGCTTAGGCATCGGCTTGGTCCAGCCAGTGCTCAGGGGCCTCCATCACTTAGAAATAGAGAAGAACCCTTTTAGCCAAATAGCAGGATTACACTGGGACGTCAAGACGTGGAGTGGGTAGGCAGCAGAACTGCCTGCAGGACCCCACTCTGGAAGAACGACCCCACACCCCATGTTGATCTGGCAGCCAGACTCCAGGTTCAAGAGGGGAGGGGCTCAGCCTGGCACTCCCCTGAGCTCCAGAGGTCCCCCCGGGAAGGGCCCTGGGGCTCAGCCCTGCACCTAAGGTGGATGTTCAAGAAACATGTATGCACATGCTTATTTATTCCTTTATGCTCTTAGTGGTTGTACCTACTGCGACAGCGAAGTCCCTGCTTTCCAGAGGGTGAGACCCCTCTTCCTGGATCTCTGTGCGCTCCTGACCTCGCTGGCCCTGCATCCTCCGCCCAGGGAGCGCACGGGTGTGAGGCCAGTGTCCTGCCGAGGCTTCCAAGGCTTTCTGTGCCGAGAATGCCAAGCAGTTCAGACCGGGGACCAGCTCTTTATACTGCTTGCACTGTGAGAAGCCCTGGACAGGCCGACACCTCCAGACAGAGTGGAGTCTGCTGATGGGTGGGCTGGGAGCTCCCCCAGATGGCTTCCTCTTTGTCCAGCCACAGCCCCTATCCTCCTGCAGCTGAGCTGTGCCAAACCCACAGTTCCAGGAAGTGGAGACATGTTTCTAGAAGTTACCTGTGGAACTCGAGGTTTATGAAGCCTTTGACTCTTGGCCTGGCTGATTCCAAGGCCGGCTTGTCCCACCCAGGGTCTCCTTGACCCGGTTTTCTCAAGTGTAATCCAGGCACTTTGTTGGCACCCTTGTTTTATAAGAAGGGAACTGATCACTGGCATTCCTGGCCCAGACCCTCCTGGCAGGCAGCTGTCCTCCTCTGGGGCCTGGGGTGCAGGCCAGACCCCGCTGGGCCCCCACCCTGCATGCCGCTGGGGAGCCTCTCTTCTGTTTTTGAAGAATCTGTTCCAGGGCTTGTATTTCCTTTGCAGCTGTTTTGAATGTAGTTTTCCTTTTCTATTTATTTGCACATTAAAGTTAAAAATTAAGTATTGACTCAATAAGTACAGACAGTCTTCCTGTGCCCATGCTGGTCGGTTCCCAAATCCTGCGCGCAGATCCCGTGTACAGAATCCTTGGCAGCCTCCTCCGCACCTGCATGGTGGGCACCATTTCCCTGGTGCATTCTAGAAAACCTCAGTTTTTCTGTTGAGTAGAAATGAGTGTTGTGTGTACAAAACCCAGTGTGAGGACTGCCATGTTTGCTTCTGAGCATTCTTTGCAGAGGCCTGCAGTGCCCACCAGCCCCACAGCCCTTGGATCTCCCCTCCCAGATGGACACCCCCTGTCCTTCCCCTCGCCCCTAGTGTGACACACCATCACTGTGTCCCCTGAACATCTGGACCCCTTCCCACCTGGCCCTGCCCCCACCTTCACCTCCAGGTAGGTGGGAGCTCTGTCTGCATCCTAGCGGACACCCCAGGAAGCCCCTGCCCTGGCCCTGACTCAGCGCCATTCCCAGGTCTTACCTTTCAGGTCTGTGAGTCCAGGCTGCTCGCCCTCTGCCAGCCCACCCTACCTACCTGGCCAGTCCTCTCACAGGAGTTGTCCCCAACTTCCCTGAGTGGCTACTGCTGCTGCCCATATGCACCCCATGCCCAAGAAGCCCCTCATGGTGCCCACCTCCCCTGCCAGAGAGGGCTTCTGAGGAGTTTGGTGAATGAGGGTTGGTGCTACACCAGATTTCTCTTGCCTCAATCCCATGTTGGAGGTATCTAGAGCCCCCTCTAAGCCCCAAGACTGGCCTGCCTTGCTCAGAAGCGCTGGGAGTCCTCAGTGCACAAGGTGGCTGCTGCAGCTCCTAGGAAGGACACCCTGTTCCAGGAGAGCAGACAGGAGCCAGTCCCAAGGGACCTGTGTAGTGACCCCAAGATTCCCACCCCTGTGGACACCCCCGAATGAGTCCCTGCCCTTGGGTGGGTGGGGCCTGTGACCTGATGAGATTTCTGGATGGAGACAGGCGGGTCTGCTGACCATGTTGGGGAGGGGGTATGGCCTGTGTGGGTGAGGACCTGGCCCTGTGGACACCGAGACTGCAGTCTGGTGGGGCCCTGAGCAGAAGACCAGCTCACTGTGAGGGTCCTCACCCGTGGAAGTGCCAGATCCTAGGGACGCATTGTTCCAGGCCACCACGGCAACTAAGGCAGCAGTAAGCAGCAGCCCTAATCAATAAAGCACCCTTCAGCCTCACTGCCCTGCACCTGCCCTTCCCGCCGCACTCAGATCTGGGGAGGTGCAGAGCCGCAGGACCAGCGTGGTTGGGGGCGATGATGCTGGGGAGGCGGTGGGGGGTTTAGGCAGAGCCCAAGGAGCAGTACTGCTTCTGTTACTCGCAAGGTGGTGTATTGGCAAGATAAACTAGCCCTGTACACCTGATGTCCTGACTGAGAATGAGGCTAATTATCCCAAAAAGCAAACTGACCTAAAGTGAGTCTCAGGAGGCCTTTGGTGGGTGGGTGGGTGGCGGGTAGGATGTGCCCGGTAGGAGCCTGCAGGGGCTTGGGTGTGGGGTCAGGGCCCCCAAACCCTCCTGGCGCTTTGTAAGTGCAGCCCTTTGGAATCCCAAGTCTGCCCCTGCCCTGGCTTCTCCAGCACCTTCCCTGTGCAGTCCTGTGCTGGGGGTAAAGGGGAACCCCAGCCCATGGTACACTTGAGCAAACTCAGATTTGGGGTACCAAGGAGGAAGTGCCCAGCAAACAGGGTCACAACACCCTAGAAATCAGGAGAGGGGGAGGCACACCTGTGGGTGCCTGTCTGACTTCAGCATAGAACGTAAAGAACAATTTGCACAAAGGGGGCTCCCCTGAGAAGCCTTGCACTGGAGGGACTCAAGGGGCTCTCACTGGAGAGGGGGGCCCGGTAGGCTCAGGGTCGGGGAGGCTTCAGGTCCAGGTGGAACTGCAGGGTGAAATCCAGTACTGACTGCTGACTGAGCTGTTGGCCATTTTTTTCCCCACCATTTGAAACCGGTGTACAGAGCTAGTTTATCTGGCCAATACACCACGTTGCAAATAACAGAATCAATAATAAAACAAGTAAGTGAAATGCACACACCGTCACACTGAGCGCATGAACTGTGTTAAGCACCCGGCTCCGTGGCACTGAGCATGCTCCTGTTGCTGTGAGCTGCTACCACCCGCTGGCTCCAGAGCTTGTTCTTCTCGCAAAACTGAAACTGTCCCCATGAAACCCCGGCACCCAGCCCCTCCCCCGGCCCCCACCCTCTGCTTCCTGTCTCTGTGAACCTGACAATTCTAGGGACCCCGTATAAGTGGACTCATGCAATATGTGTCCTTTTGTGTCTGGCTTAGTTCACAGCCTGGTGCCCTCAAGGTTCGGCCATGTTGGAGCAGGTGTCAGAACCTCCCCCTTTTTAAAGCTGCTATTCTGCCTCTTTTTAAAACATGAGTTCTTATGGAAGTGGCACACGATACAGAGAACACCAGCAATACACAGAGCAGAGAGAGAAGTGGGTGCCCGAGTGCCTCTCCCTAAAGGCAACTGCCCCTAGCGTCTCCCAGGAGATGCCTCCGTGCGGCTCATGGCCCAGCTGGAACAGCAGCCCTGCACCCCCACATCTGGGGTCCCCCATTCCCACAGGCATAGGTTGCTTCTGTTGTGGAAGGCTGTTGGTGCGTGTCCCCGCCTCTGTGCCGCTGGGAATATTTTGGTACAGAAGTCTTCCTGTGCGTGTGTATCTGCCATAAATTTCTAGACATGGAACTCCTGAGCCAAAAAACCCTCTGCAGGGACACCGGTCCACTGCGCCCCCATGACAGCGCGCTGCCGCCTGCCCCCAGCCTTCCCCACACGTTTCCTGTTCTCCTGGAGGGAAGCAGGGTCTCACAGCAGCCGCCCTGTGCGCTGGGGATGTCATCAGTCACAGTGGCCGAGAGATAGGTGTGGGGCTGAATCTGTCCTTGGTGTCAGTGGTAGAAACCGCTCAGAAACGGGGGAGGCTTCTGGCTGAGACCGCTGCACAAGCCAGAGGTCTCCTGGCCTCGGTCCCTCCCCGCCTGGGGCTGGGGGCAGGGACCTCAGCATCTCAGCTGCCAGCTGCACAGACTGCTCGGTCACTTCCTGGCTAGTTCCGTGTCCCTGAGTGTGTGACTAGATTAGGGCTCGCTGTGCCGGGCCACAGCCACATCAGACACCCCTGTCCAGTTAATTTCTTCTTCCTTGAGTCCCACTGCCGAGCAGGAAGTCACAGCCCAGAGCAGCCGGCGCCAAGCCCCGGTGGCATGTGGGTGCTCCTGCTTCTGTGGCCCCTGGTGCTGGGTCTCAGCCTGGAGAGTGACATCCAGAACCCCATCAGCTACGACGAGAGTGGGAGTGCAGGAGGAGGCGATGGTGAGCGATCTGAGGCCCTGCCTCAGGACTGGGGGGAGCCCAGAGCCGGGGGGGTGGAGGGGGAGATGAGACCTGGGGAGTTCGTCCACCCCAGCCCTAAGCCCATGAGGCTGGGGGTTTCCGTGTCCAGCTGGGTCCCATCAGCCCTCGGGTGTGGCGCTGTCCTGTAGGGCGGGGGCAATGTGCGGGCTCTCAGCACGTCTACCCCTCCCCTTAGGTCTCTCTCCCCCAGATGGCACACTGGGATCCTGCACCAGGCCCCAGGCGGCGCCCCGCAGCTTCCCCGGCCAGCTGTGCTCCAACCACAGCGATATCCTGGAGCTCCCGGACAGCTCCCGTGCACTTCTGCTGGGCTGGGTGCCCACGAGGCTGGTGCCCTCCCTCTATGGGCTGGCCCTGGTCATAGGGCTGCCCGCCAACAGCCTGGCACTGTGGGTGCTGGCCACACGGGTGCCACGGATGCCCTCCACGGTGCTGCTGATGAACCTGGCGGTGGCCGACCTACTGCTAGCCCTGGTGCTGCCTCCGCGCATCGCGTACCACCTGCAGGGCCAGCGATGGCCCTTGGGCGAGGTCGCCTGTCGCCTGGCCACAGCCACGCTGTATGGCCACATGTATGGCTCCGTGCTGCTGCTGGCCGCCGTCAGCCTGGACCGCTACCTGGGTGTGGTGCATCCACTGCGGGCCCGCACCCTCCGGGGCCAGTGCCTAGCTTCTGGGCTCTGTGCCATGGCCTGGCTGGTGGCAGCTGCCCTGGCGCTGCCCCTGGCACTGCAGCAGCAGACCTACCGGCTGTCACACTCGGACCACGTGCTCTGCCATGACGTGCTGCCTGTGGGCACCCAGGCCTCCTACTGGCGGCCTGTCTTCATCTGCCTGGCCGTGCTCGGCTGCTTCCTGCCTCTGCTGGCCATGCTGCTGAGCTACGGGGCCACCCTTTGCACGCTGGCAGCCGGTGGCCGGCGCTATAGCCACGCGCTGAGGCTGACCACGCTGGTGCTGGCCTCGGCTGTGGCTTTCTTCACCCCCAGCAACATCCTGCTGCTCCTGCACTACTCGAACCCAAGCGCGGATGCCTGGGGGGACCTGTACGCCGCCTATGTGCCCAGTCTGGCACTCAGCACGCTCAACAGCTGCGTGGACCCCTTCGTCTACTATTACGTGTCAGCTGAGTTTAGGGACAAGGTGCGGGAGGGGCTGCTCTGCTGGAAGCCCGGCCCCTCAGCGGCCTCCAGGGAGGGGGGCAGCCCTGGGTTGGGCACCCGGTCCTCCTCACTCGTGTGATGGCCCCTCAGAGGGGGGCCAAATGGGAAGAGGGTGTCCTGGGTTGCATAGGGTGCCCTCCCCATTCATGTCCACTAGGAACCTCTGAATAGGATCTTATTTGGAAAGAGGATCTTTGCAGGTGTCATTAGTTAAGATGAGGTTGCATTGGAGGAGGATGGCCCCTAAATCCAACATGACTAGTGTCCTAATAAAAGGACTCAGAGACACACACACAGGGAAAGCCATGTGGCCGTGGCACCAGGCTGATGCTCACACAAGCCAAGGAATGCCACGTCTGTGAGAGACACACTCACTGGTCCAAATTCAATAAGTGGACATGGAGACAGAGAACAGCGGAGCGAGGCTTTAATGCTGGTCCTGCAAGATCGGGTGTCTGGTGGGCCGGCACATCTGGGGAGTTTGGTGCCAATAATTTATCTCCTAGTGTGTGAGTCCCTACCCTGGTTCCTCATTGGCTGAGTCCTACAGGGTTCACAGTCTTCCCCAGAAGTCTCCTAAGCCCGTTATATCCTTCCTTTACATTTCTCTTATTCTTATTGGTAGGTTTAAAAAACTCAAACAGGTATAGCCAGGCCCTTATCAATTCCCCCACCCCCACTCTCAGCCTGAGCAGCTTCCACCACGTGGCCCTTTGTTAATACCTTACTGTTAAAATGTTTAAACATCCTGGTGGGAATAAATCACATTTAGGTTTTATGCGCTGTCCTAACACAGCCCCCTGGCAGCCCAGGGAAGCCGGGAGAGCGTCCTGGCGTACACTCCCCTTGGGAGCCCCCAGATCCCTGCCCACACCTTGATCTCAGACTTTTGGCACCCAGAATTGTCAAATAAATGGCTATGAAGTCACCCAGCACTTGGTAGAGCAGCCCCAGGAAACTCAGGGATTAAGTGCAGATTCCTGGGCCCCTTTCCTCTGCAGTGCAGCCGGGGCAGCCCTGGGCCTGCTGCGGGACCCCACTCAGGCAGACGCTCAGGCTCCCTGGCCCCTGGTGGCCCAGGCGGCAGAGAGCCGATTTGGAGGTCCTCCTTCCCAGAAGCCCGGAGTCCAGCAACGGGAGGGGCTTCCAGATTCAGGGCATCTCCTGAGCAGCCATACCGGAGACCCCCCACTCCACTCCCCAAGGCCTGCTGCAGCCCATTGTTGGGAGCCATTAGGCCCAGCCTGCTGCTGCCACCCAGGCTGCAAAATGTCACTTCTCACCCCTCACCTGAGGTCTGATTCCTCTGCTCACTCTACGTAAGCCCCCACCCCTGGCCCAGGACCACGTGGCAGTAACTTTAGGGTGGATGGTGCACTCCCTATGGGGGGGTTGTGGCCCTGCGACCCCTGCCCCAGCCATTTGCAGCCTGCTCTGAGCGGAGCTGGAGGAGGGCACTGTGTGAAGAGCAGCTGCGGCAGCCCAGAGGCGGAGGCAGCACCTGGGGTCAGCAGGCGCCCTATCTCGGTGACCCTGCTCCCGGGGCCCAAGGTGCCTTCCTCTCCTGCTCTGAGCTTTGGTCACCTCTTACAGGCTTGCCACGTGACACCACAATGTGTGCCCACTTCCACTGGCCCCTACAGTTTTCTATTGTCTCAAGCTTAGAAACATGAATCGAACTTAATCTCGTAAGAGGCTGCAGGAGGGGCAACCAGCCCAGCTCACACACAGGGAAACTGTTTCCTCGGGCATGTGCCAAGGTGCCCAGCCCTCTGAGAACATGGGTGCGTCCCAGCCACAGCTCACAGCCCATGAGCCTGCGTCCCTGCTCCCACTCTGACAACAGCTGGGTCACCCCCACCCCTGGGGTCCTGGAAGATGAGGCTGCCCGGGCTCAGCCTGCAGTGTGGGCCACGTTGCCATTGAGTATGTGGTGGGGGCTCCAGGGGCCATCCTACCATCAGGTGCCAAGGCCGGGCAGGGGAGGGCTGGGGTGCAGCCTTGCTGTGCCTGAGGCAAAGCAGTTGAGCTTCACCTGTAGAAGCCCCCCTGCCGAGGCCCACGGCCACACCCATGCACAGACTGGACCAAAGTCACTCCTGCCCAATGTCTGTGCTCCGTGGATGCTCGAGGTGTCCTCTGGGTCCTGTGAACCTGTGGGTGCGGTCAGCTCCTACTGCACATGGCTGGAGTCACCTTCTGCTCTCACCCTGCCTATACCCCCGAGTGGGTGCATTTGTACACACAGGGCTCCCATGAGGACAGCCAACAGGTATGGTGGACGTGGGGAGGGCCTCTGGGTCCTGCTCCACCTGCTCTGGGCCCAGAGCTGCGTCAGACCTCCAAGCTCCCACTGGGTGCCCCAGGGCACTGGCCCCTAAGTCCTACTCATGTGCAAGGCCACACACCCTCCCCTGTGCCCTGATGGGGGACCAGACCTTGAGGTGCCTCAGTCTTTAAAAGACCTGTCCCCTAAGGAAGGGAGGAGCTGAGCCATTGTGAACAGGGCTGGTCCCACCCTGACCGCAGGCTCCTCTTCTGTGGGGAAGTGATGGGATTGGGCTCCCGGGACTCTTCCTGTCAGTTCTGTTCATATTTTTCTCATGAGGCCTTTGGGCTGCCTTCTGCTCAGAGCAGCAAAGCTTCTTTTATGCAGCACAAATGGTGCGTTTCTCACATGGTCCCCTGCTTGGTGACCAGCAACCACTTTGTACATCTGCTGCCACATGGTAGGGAAGCAATGGAGCCCCCTGCGCCCTCCACCAAGCGGCCTGGAGGACAGGCTGCAGCTGAGGCCTGCTCGCTCCACGTCTGGCCTGTTGGCAGGTGTCTTCCTGACAACGCTTATTAGCTCTCATGCCGGGGGAGCTGAGCGTCCCCGTGGCCCTCACCCTGAGCCCCTCCACGGCCCACTCCCGTGCGCTGGGGGCCTGGTGACCCCAGTGGGAAGCAGGCAGCAGGTCTGGGACCCGTCAGCCCAGCCTGTGCCCCCTGGAGAGGGGCTGGGTCCCCATGGCCCTGAGGGCTCTCCAGTGACTGAGGACAGGCTTGACCTGGTGCTCCAGGGGCGGCTACACCCAGAGGTGTTTCAGAACTGACAAGGAGACCAGCAGTGCCCACTGAGCTGGGGACTGACGCCGCACCCGTGGTCCCCACCCCTGGGAGGCCCCCAGGAGAACCTCCTGCTCCCCGTGCAGGTGTTGATCCAGTTGCAGTGGTGGTCGAAGCCGGAGATGCACTTATTATACTCGCTGCAGTGCTTGCTTTTCGTGCTCCAGCAAGAATGTCTGGGCGGCTGTCATCAGCCTCTGAGGGCGGGAACAGGGTGGGCTCAGAGCACCTGGCCTGGTGGGGAGAAACAAGGATAGTAGCCTGGCTGGAAAAGAACCGGGGGCCAGCGACAGGGTCTGCCCTCGGCCACACCTCCACGTGGTCCAGGGGTGGGGGCCGTGCTCCTGTGCAGGAGTCCGTGGCTGGCCAGATCCCCTCCCAGGCCGCCCACTGACAGCCCGGAGCTGCTGGCACCCCTGGCCCTGAACAGCTCTGGGCTGTGATCTAGGGGGAACAGGGTCTGGGAGTCTGGGAGGCCCAAGACAGACAGTGCCCTCCCTGCCCCAGGTTAGGGGCTCCCCCTCTGGAGGGAGAGGTGCCGTAGGACCCCACAGGCACAGGCCCAGCAGGCATCCCCCGGCCCTGGCTCTGTGTTGGCCAGAGGCTCAGATCCACCAGGTTGCCAACTCCCATGCCCAGGCACTCACATGGTGACTTTACACACGTGGCAATACTTGTCCTGAGTCACGTGTGCGTGTTTAGCTTGGGGGAATATCGGTATTGGCTCGCTGCAGTTCTTGAGGCGGATGCTGGTCTCAGCTGGGTCCATAGACACGACCAGCAAGTGGGCTAGCCAGTGCAGGAAGGAGAGCCCACCAGTCACCTGGGAGCATCAACGACAACACGGCCTGGAAGGTCACGGGGCTCTAGGTGCACCTTGAGGCCTGGAGCTGCCTGGCTGCCGCAGGGACGGGGAGAGCCTGCACCCCAGGGCTGCACCCAATTACCTCCAGCCACAAGGGACAGAGCAGAGCGTGCTGGCAGACACCTCAGCCTCAGGGCACCTTGTGAGGTGACGGTGAACCCATCCTCCCGCTGTGGCCCCATGTCCCACCACGGTACCAGTGGCTCGCGTGGCCTGGTGGCACAAGCCGGTGGCTTGAGGATTCGTGGGGGTCCGCTGGGTGTCAGAGACCCTTGGAGCCCATGTGTGTGGGCAGTAACAAGAGCAGCCCAAACTCCCTGCAGTGGGCCTGTGGTGTGGGGCTGTCCTCCAGCTCCCCATGGAAGAAAGCTCTCACAGGCCCCCTCCCCACCCTGCTCCCTGGGGCCAACACAGGATCCCCGTGGAAACCAAACAAGGACAGGACGCTGCCGAGGCCCTGCCCTGCGTCCTGCCCGGTCACCTGCCTCCCACCCTCGTCCCCCCATTACGCACACCCATCCGGGAAGGGACACAGCAGTGCAGGCCATATCCTCATGGGGGGAGCCAACAGCTACTTCCCACTGTAAGGATGTGGGTCTCACACCGGCCCTGCTTGTCCCTGGCTCCAGTGTCAGGCAACCTTGGTGGGGACCCAGGGTTCCCTGGTCAAGTGCTGCAGACCCAGGATGGGGTGGGTGTGACATGGGGCCCCACACACCCGACAAGGCCCCCAGGAAGGTCTCAGGTCAGAAAGCCCACCAACCACGAGGGTTGCCTCTGACAGTCCCCAGGAACGACACAGTCTTGAAATGCTTCCCTATCAACTCTCCTGCCCTGTGCCAGGCAGCACACTCGGCAACCTCTTAGAGGGCCTCACAGACCCACTGTGCAAGTCCTCCTCTCGTGGGGCCTTCTGCCCTGCTGTGGCCCCGTGCTGCCCCGGGCCCCTCATACACTTGCCCCACACCCAGGGTGGGTAAGGGGCCTGCACTCCCCAGTGAGCATCTCCACCAGCACCCCAAGGCCATGAGCCGCAACGGACAGGTACAGGGTTTCGGGTGCTGTGGCACTGGGCGTGTGTGGGGTGCAGTGATGGCACGAGGGGTGGGGAACAGGTCAGGCCACTCCCGCTGGTGACTCTGTGCAGAGGACAGAGTAGCAGAGGGTCACATAGCCAGCAGGCAGAGGGCCTGGAGCCGGCAGAAGCCCCATCCCACTTCAGGGAGCAGGTGCCCCCATAAAGGATACACCATAACCAATATATTTCTAAATCTTTGGTAGGAAGGAGATGAAGATGCCAAAGCTGGTGACAGCAAAGATGAAGAACATGGCCCAGGCCACCACCTGCAAGGTGTTCAGGGGCCTCAACCAGCTGTTCACTCAGGACAGGTGAGGTGGTGAGGTTGGCTTCCCCCAGCTGACCGATCTCCATC